TAAAGAGCAGGAGGCAGATCAGAGGTGGTGGATTGGGAGCAGGACCCCGTCTGTTACGTCTTTGCCTTCGACGTTCCTCCTGAGCACGATTGAAATTTTCCATTAGATTGAAGTTATGGTCAACTCCAACTCGTACTCCCTGAACACCAGGCTGATGGAGAAAGGGATGGGCATTCTGCATGTTTTGAGGGCGAGCTGCACCCTCATAATATACAGCACCATACATTGGCATTTGAGCAGCGGATGGACAGGAGGAGGAGCTGGGGCAGGGACAGGAGGAGGGGTGATAGCCACCAAACCTGGAGGATAGATGGGGGCAGGGGCAGGGGCAGGAGCAGGAGAGGGTGATAGCCACCAAACCCTGGAGGATAGACAGGAGCAGGAGCAGGAGCAGGAGGAAAATAGCCAAAGCCTGGAGCAGGGGGGGTGGTGGTGGGTGATGAGCACGCCACTGACGATGCGCCTCATGACGCTCAATTGCATTCCGTGGAATTCCAGGAAATCTCTGCACAGGGATCTGAGCATGATTTAAATTTCCTAGCATATGAGGAATATTCTGAATAGGATGTGTCAGCAATGGTCAAAGTTTTCAATCAAAATACACATACCATATGGGGAGCATCTGGTGCTACAGGGGCATGGTCATTTTGCGGTAAACGTCGTGCAGGAGGCGAGCCAAGATTACGTTGATTTCTCTCAGCTTGACGCGCAACAGACTGGGCTCGTTGAGGGGAAGTGGGTGGAGTGGAAGGAAGCCTAAGAGAGAATTAATTAATTAGCAGGACTCCATCAAAATATAAATTATGTACGAACATGGCAGTATGTAGCAAAAAATCGAAAAAATGAGGCAAAATATAGCAATGGACAGGATAGAAACACCACTGCAGCAAAATTAGTGATGAAGACATGAGAAGCATTATACGCACATAGGTCGGAATCCAACAAAGTGGGTGTGTGGGTGGTCGAAGAAGTCTGCACCTCCCGAGGACAGGATCGCGTCAGGAAATCGACGTATGACAGTGCTGAAGACAACAAAAATGCTGTCCGAGATATTATCCCAGGGGATAGGAAGGCAACTGTGAGCAACTGCCAGATAGAACACCCAGCAGTCAGACTCAACGCAAAAAAGCGTCCCGCCAACCAAATCTCTGCACTGTAGTGCTATCAGAGGTCCCAGCAAAAGCTGATAGCAACCGGCAAACACCCGTAAAACAGGCAGCCAGGGAGGTAGGACTTGACACGGAGATGTCACAGGACAGTCTTTGACAACTGCAAAAGACGCCCGCAAGACTCCTCGCACGTTCGTCTTGTATACCCAATTTCCCCAGTTCTCCGTGGGATTCGGGCACAGAAACAAACAACAAACACACCACACGAACCTGCTCTCAAAAGGGTCCAGGGGGGGGTCCAAAGGGTCCAGGAGGGTCCAGGGGTCCAAGGGAGGTCCAAACACGGTCCAAAAGGTCCAAAATGCGGTCCAAAACAGCAGAAAAGCGAAAATCACTATATTTGTTGAATTTTTCAAGTTATTATTATATTTTTGTATTTAAATAAGTAAACCTTACCCCAGGAGGGGAATTTCACTACAAATTTACAAATAATCACTGGGGAGAGGATTTCAACAATGTAGTATGCGAGGAAATGTGAGGAAACAGATGATGGGGGAAAAGAGGTGTTTAGATGCGAGGGTTTCGAAACTCGTAGGGAAATGGAACTCCGAAAATGAAAAGCACGCGAAAATTCCTAAAAGGTCTGTAACCGAAACTGCCGACGCTGCCGACGCCATGTGGGCTACGCGAAAATGCCCAAATCCTCCCACATTCCCCCCCTCCCTTCTCCCTTACTTTTTAAGACGAGTCCAAGCCCGTTGTGCCTTCGGCACAGGAAGCAAGCAGAGCACTTCGTGCTCTGCTGGAGGCACCTTCAGTGCCTTGTCTCACTGTGTCTACATATTATTTAATTATAACAAATCAATAATTTCTTACATTATATAGTTTTGTTTTAGTTATGGGATGTTGCACAAACAGTTTGACTGAAGGTTACCTGGGACACTGGCTTGCATCCCGCTGGCCGAGGCACGAGGCCACGGGATCGCAAGCCAGTGTCCCAGGTAACCTTCAGTCAAACTGTTTGTGTCTTGCTACTGACTCATGCCTTTCCCCTCAATTCTCCCATCTCTCATCTCCCATCTCCTGTGTCCCATTGTCCCATTGTCCTGTGTCCTGTGTCCCGTGTCCCATGTCCTGTGTCCCATTGTCATGTCCTCCCATCTCCCATCCTCCCATTGTCCTCCCATTGTCTTGTCCTCCTGTAGTCCTGTCCTCTTGTCCTCCTCTTGTCCTCTCATCCTCTCATTGTCCTCCCATCCCCCTGTCATCCTCCCATCCTCCCATCTCCCTATTCACCCCATTTCTCCATTCTCCATCTTCCCATCCCATTCCCATGTTTACCCATTGCCCAATTTTCCCATCTTTATATTTTTGCATTTTCACACTTTCACATTTTCGCATTTTTCATATTTTTCTATTTGCTTGGTGTTCTTTTTCTATCCTATTGTGGCTACATTTTTATGTATACACAATTGCAGTACATATACATCATTGTTGTTGGAGCCACCTGCCAAATCAGTCAACCCTTACATATTAACGGACGAAGGTTTGCGCAAAATTCAAACTCCGCTTGACAGAACCACATGGCATTCCCTTTTTCAGCGCTCCAAGGGAGAAGGGATTCAAACAACCGACGCAAGCGACGCAATCGATACTGACGACGCCATGTGCGTTACGCGGAATACGCGTTTCACACGGTTTCCCCCATACCGTTCTCCCTTACTTTATAGACGAGTCCAAGCCCGTTGTGCCTTCGGCACAGGAAGCAAGCAGAGCACTTCGTGCTCTGCTGGAGGCACTGAAGGTGCCTTGTCTCACTGTGCCTACATATTATTTAGTTGTGTGAAATCAATCATTTCTTACATCTTACATTTTAAAAATATTATATAATTTTGTTTTAGTTATGGGATGTTGCACAAACAGTTTGACTGAAGGTTACCTGGGACACTGGTTTGCGATCCCGTGGCCTCGTGCCTCGGCCAGCGGGATGCAAGCCAGTGTCCCAGGTAACCTTCAGTCAAACTGTTTGTGTCTTGCTACTGACTCATGCCTTTCCCCTCAATTCTCCTATCTCTCATCTCCCATCTCCTGTGTCCTGTGTCCTGTTGTCTCGTGTCCCATGTCCCGTGTCCCGTGTCCCGTGTCCCATGTCCCGTGTCCCATGTCCCATCCTCTCATTGTCCTCCCATTGTCCTCCTGTCCTCCTGTCTTCCCATCCTCCTGTCATCCCATTCTCCCATTCTCCCATCCTCCCATTGTCCTCCCATTGTTCTCCCATCCTTCTGTTGTCCTCCTATTGTCCTCCTATCCTCTCATCTCCCCATTCACCCCATTTCTCCATTTTTCATCTTCCCATTCCCATGTTTACTCATTGCCCATTTTTCCCATCTTTATATTTTTGCATTTTCACACTTTCACATTTTCGCATTTTTCATATTTTTCTATTTGCTTGGTGTTCTTTTTCTATCCTATTGTGGCTACATTTTTATGTATACACAATTGCAGTACATATACATCATTGTTGTTGGAGCCACCTGCCAAATCAGTCAACCCTTACATACTAACGGACGAAGGTTTGCGCAAAATTCAAACTCCGCTTGACAGAACCACATGGCATTCCCTTTTTCAGCGCTCCAAGGGAGAAGGGATTCAAACAACCGATGCAAGCGACGCAACCGAAACTGCCGAAATACGCGGAATACGCGTCTCTCACGGTTTCCCCCATACCGTTCTCCCTTACTTTATAGACGAGTCCAAGCCCGTTGTGCCTTCGGCACAGGAAGCAAGCAGAGCATTTCATGCTCTGCTGGAGGCACCAAAGGTGCCTTGCCTCACTGTGTCTACATATTATTTAATTTTGTGAAATAAATAAATTCTTACATCTTACATTTAAAAAATATTATATAGTTTTGTTTTAGCTATGGGATGTTGCACAAAGAGTTTGACTGAAGGTTACCTGGGACACAGGCTTGCAATCCCGTGGCCTCGTGCCTCGGCCAGCGGGATGCAAGCCAGTGTCCCAGGTAACCTTCAGTCAAACTGTTTGTGTCATGCTATTGACTCATACACTTCCTCCCAATTATCTGATTTCCTATCTCCCATGTCCTGTGTCCCATGTCCCATGGTTCTGTGTCCCACTGTCCCACTGTCCTGTTGTCCTGTTGTCCTGTTGTTTGTCCTGTTGTCCCGTGTCCCATTGTCCTGTTGTCCTGTTGTCCCATGTCCTGTTGTCCCGTGTCCCACTGTCCCATTGTCCCATGTCCCATGTCCCATGTCCCATTGTCCCGTGTCCCGTGTCCCGTGTCCCGTGTCCCATTGTCTGTCCTCCTGTCTTCCATCCTCCCATTGTCCTCCCATTGTCCTCCCATCCTCTTGTCCTCTCATCCTCCTATTGTGTCCTCTTGTCCTCCTCTTGTCCTCCCATCCTCCCATTGTTCTCCCATCCTTCTGTTGTCCTCCTATTTTCCTCCCATCCTCCCATCCTCCCTATTCACCCTATTTTTCCATTCTCCATCTTCCCATTCCCCTGTTTACCCATTGCCAATTTTTCCCATCTTTATATTTTCGCAATTTTGCATTTTCACATTTTTGCATTTTGCATTTTGCATTTTTCACATTTTTCTACTTGCTTGGTGTTCTCTTTTCTCTTTTCCCCACAAAAATCCCAAAATCCCTTGTTGTCCTTCAATTTTTACTATTTATTATGTATTCAGTTACAGTACATATAAAATTCATTGTTGTTGTGCAAAATGGAGGCCCAGTGAGCACTTGCCAATCCCATTGTGGCTCAATTTTTACAAATTCCCACGTTTGGACAGTGAGCTCGTATAGTAAGGGACAACGGTTTTTTGCAAATTCAAACTCCGCTTGACAGAACCACATGGGATCCTCTTTTCAGCGACCTTACCGACGCAACCGAAACAACCGACACTGCCGGAATACGCGGAATACGCGTCTCTCACGGTTTCCCCCATACCATTCTCCCTTACTTTATAGACGAGTCCAAGCCCGTTGTGCCTTCGGCACAGGAAGCAAGCAGAGCATTTCATGCTCTGCTGGAGGCACCAAAGGTGCCTTGCCTCACTGTGTCTACATATTATTTAATTTTGTGAAATAAATAAATTCTTACATCTTACATTTAAAAAATATTATATAGTTTTGTTTTAGCTATGGGATGTTGCACAAAGAGTTTGACTGAAGGTTACCTGGGACACAGGCTTGCAATCCCGTGGCCTCGTGCCTCGGCCAGCGGGATGCAAGCCAGTGTCCCAGGTAACCTTCAGTCAAACTCTTTGTGTCATGCTATTGATTCATACACTTCCTCCCAATTATCTTGTCCCGTGTCCTGTTGTCCCGTGTCCTGTGTCCTGTTGTCCTGTTGTCCCATTGTCCTGTTGTCCCGTGTCCTGTGTCCTGTTGTCCTGTTGTCCCATTGTCCTGTTGTCCTGTTGTCCTGTTGTCCCATGTCCCATGTCCTGTGTCCCATTGTCCCATGTCTTGTTGTCCCGTTGTCCCATGTCCCATTGTCCTGTGTCCCATTGTCCCATGTCTTGTTGTCCCGTTGTCCCATGTCCCATTGTCCTGTGTCCCATTGTCCCATGTCTTGTTGTCCCGTTGTCCCATGTCCCATTGTCCTGTGTCCCATTGTCCCATGTCTTGTTGTCCCATTGTCCCATGTCCCATTGTCTTGTCCTCCCATCTCCCATCCTCCCATTGTCTTCTCATCCTCCCATTGTGTCCTCTTGTCCTCCTCTTGTCCTCCCATCCTCCCATCTCCCTATTCACCCCATTTCTCCATTCTCCATCTTCCCATTCCCCTGTTTACCCATTGCCAAATTTTCCCATCTTTATATTTTTGCAATTTTGCATTTTCACATTTTTGCATTTTGCATTTTTCACATTTTTCTACTTGCTTGGTGTTCTCTTTTCTCTTTTCCCCACAAAAATCCCAAAATCCCTTGTTGTCCTTCAATTTTTACTATTTATTATGTATTCACAGTTGCAGTACATATAAAATTCATTGTTGTTGTGCAAAATGAAGGGCCAGTGAGCACTTGCCAATCCCATTGTGGCTCAATTTTTACAAATTCCCACGTTTGGACAGTGAGCTCGTATAGTAAGGGACAACGGTTTTTTCAAATTCAAACTCCGCTTGACAGAACCACATGGGATCCTTTTTTCAGCGACCTTACCGACGCAACCGAAAACAACCGAAACAACCGACACCATGTGGGCTACGCGAAAATGCCCAAATCGTCCGTCCAAAAAGCGGTCCAAAAGCAGCAGAAAAGCGAAAATCACTATATTTTTTTGAATCTTTCAAGTTATTATTATATTTTTGTATTTAAATAAGTAAAGCTTACCCCAGGAGGGGAATTTCACTACAAATTTACAAATCACTGGGGAGAGGATACTTCAACAATTTCAACAATAGTATAGTGTGTGAGGAAACAGATGGTGGGGGGAAAGAGGTGTTTAGATTGCGAGGTTTCGAAACTCGTAGGGAAATGGAACTCCGAAAATGAAAAGCACGCGAAAATTCCTAAAAGGTCTGATAACCGACGCAACCGAAACAACCGACACTGCCGGAATACGCGGAATACGCGTCTCTCACGGTTTCCCCCATACCATTCTCCCTTACTTTATAGATAAGATAAGATTCTCCCTTACTTTTTAAGATTCATTTCAATCTACTTCAGGACACCAAATAACTAGTTCACATAAGTACCACGACGAAACTGGGGACATGGCACAATTCTCCCGCTCCATGCAGAGCAACCCTAAAAGTGATGTAAGGCTGGGTATGAATTCGGCGGGGACGAAGTAGATACGAGACGAGTGCAAAGGTAATTGAGACGAGTAGGAAAACGTTTGAGATGGTGACTTTCTGTGAGGCTTTTCAGTCGTGCTTGGAGCGGGGAATCAGCGTATGGGATTCTGCTCGATTTTTATGTAGGTATGAATGTACATGGGCGGTATATATACGTTTTCGAACACTTGACGAGGCCAGAATGAGCATAATGAGCAATATGGTGAAGGTAAAATGAAGCGGTCAAGGCAAGGGGATCGTGGAGTTTGAGCACAAGGTAAGATCGTAAAAGGAAATGAAAATGAAAATGCAAAAGACTGTATCCGCGTGACTCGGATGCGAAGAGTAACGGAGGCACGCCGTCTTCGTTTTGAAGCGTGATCGGTGCGTAGAGGATATGCGATCCTTACAGTGACATCGAGCATTTCCCGTGCTACACACTACTGCTAGTTGACACATGGACACGCTCCTGGAAGGCAATTGAAGTCATGGCAGTTACTGCGTCTGAGTCGTCCACGAGCTTAGCGTGATATTCTCGAACGGCAAGGATGAGACGTGGTCCCAGCACAAATAACTGCACAACCTCGAATATTAGAATAAACCCAACATAAATCTGGACTTTCAGGGAATATGGGTCCTATAAAAATGATGAACCGCGCTCGCATGCAGAGGTCAGTGACATATTGGCATACCGCTGGCATCGTCGATGAGTCATAACCGAGCTCGAAGCAAGAAGCAGCAAGAAAGCTAGCACGTTCTGAACGTCAGCGGTAGAAGAGAATGTCATTCATATTATAGGCTCACCTCGCAAAGTAGCCCACATGAGATTTCATCAACACCGTGAAACAGTCTCCGAGAATCCCTCCTGCCGATTGCCGTCGCAGTTCTCGGAAGTGTTTTACAGCAATCCAGACAGCGAGACACAGTGCGAGGACCTCCCATACAGTCCACAGTATCCAAATCATGGACGCCAGAGGCGCGAGATCTGCCTCAGAGTTCATAGTGCACTGATAGGTGCCGGAGAGAATGAGCTCCTCTGATATTCAATGAGCCTCATGCATTGAAGTCTTTCAATCGAAGCTTACCCCCTGAAATAGTATGGTTCGTTATTATTGCGCTCATCGCTATGTTCGCGATATTGACAACCAGGAAGACGACACCGAGAAGTATCAAGACCTTTCTGGATCGCTGGTACATGGCATGTAACCGAGTGATCATGATGACTTGTCTCGGTCAAGTCAGTATCATTGAGGTATTACAGCTGGTTCGCTCACCGTCCAGTATTACAGTGATGGTGTTATTTGTCCAATTTTGTGTGAAGTACACGATAAGGCCTAACAATTACAAGCCCAGTTAGTGATCAGTCACAGCCTCGCCGGAGGATCACACTCGAAACAAACTCACATCTATGGTAGTGAATGTATTGAACAAACAAGGTGGCCAAGAATCTCACTCACCCCTACATGGGAGTGCAGTTGATTAGACAGGAATAGCAGGTATTACTGCAGAATACTCACTACATCTGTGAGTGGGATTGTTGGAATATTGACTGTATGCCGCCAGTCAGAAAAAACAAACATGGTGAATATGAGACATACGCAGCATCTGGGTCCTGATTGTGAGAGATGACTGATTAGCACAACACCAATTGCTTATTTCTCCGAACATACACACTATATGACATTCCAAGATAGCGCGCCTGGGATGCTTTTGAATCAACACGACTTGCCAATCATTTTTATAACGCAAGCTACATACACTGATATAGAGAAAGTCACGAGGGACCAGCGTTGCCTCTGTCGCCAATTATTCGAAGTTAATGTTGTTGTTCTGACGTGGGGACTGTGCTCACCCAGATCAGTTCGACCTGTAAAACCTGTCTCAGCGATATGGCTGCTCCGGTAATGGCATCAGCCTACCTCTTTCCCGAATGTCAATGCTGGAAATACTACCATAGGGATATCAGCGGTTCCTGGATACTTATCTTGCTTACTCCAATCATACATCCCCCCAGCAAAGGCTGCAACTGCGAAATGCAGCCAAGGTTAAAACGACACATCACCATCATCATCCGACAGGCTCCACGTACCTGCAAAATAACTGAAAATCCTATTCGCATTGATGTCCGGCGACCAACTGGAATCATTTAAGACTATGGGCATATTGGCGGAGGATGGGTATGAGGAAGCAGCGAACTTGGTCGACGTATGGCGATGACATTCGTCCTAGTTATACCAAAATCCATACAACAGCACTGCACTCGACATTGCATCGCGCAGTCGATGCATCGCTTTGTCGCAGCCTCGTA